TACACAGCCTCTTCAGCAGGTTGTAGCTGCTAGAGAGTCCCTGCATGACATGGGTGATGTACGACGCGGTGGAGAACTGCGCGCCGGCCATCCTGATGGTGGCGAGAATTCGCCTGGCTCGGTTGCAGTAGTCAGTCGCTGTCTCCTCATCACCCATACGCAGGTGCGTCAGCTGTCCCTCCAGCTGGGCGATGAACAGGTCGTCGGTGACCTGGTACGTCGACTGAATGAAGTGCCTTCCCTATGGCCGGCGTCGATGTACTCCCGGCACCATTTCAAGGCGATCTGCACGCCCGGCGAGCAGCACCGCGAGATGAGCGTGAAGGTCAACAGCTGCACGGCGCGAAACTCTGCACGCAGGTCGGGGTGGTGCTCCCCCGGCGTCGCCACGGTCCCTCGGGCGAAGCCGATCAGCCCGGCCATCTCCAGCTGGGGCTCGATAGCTTCCTTCCAGGTGAGAATGTCGGGTCGACCGAACGGCGGGGGGGTGACCGAGATCCTGTCCGGCGTAAACTTGAAGTAGCCGTTGCTCGATGCAATCCCACGTGCTGTCACCTGGGACGCCGACATCGGCGACAGCCCACTTCGACGCCCACCGGCGTCACCATGTGAGGAACCTGCAGCCGCCGACGACTGCATCCCTCGCGCCTGAACGCCGCCGGCTTCACCGGCGTGTATCACACCTCGCTGCCTCGACGTGCCTCCCACACTACTGCCGACCTGACCTCCACCGGCGTTGACGCCCACATCGACGCCGCCGTGGTTGTTCACCGGTCGAGGAGAGGCAGGTCGAGAAGGGGGATGCTCCGCCGCCCACACGGAGCAGAGTCCGGCTTCGACGACTGCCCAGGGTATCGCCCCATACTCCTGGGCCTCATGGCGTCTCCTCGCATCCTCCAGCCGTCCCTCCAGGGTGTCCATCATCTCGGCGTCGCCTACGCGCACGCTAGTGACTGCACGGCTGCCGGTCTACGAGCACGATCGGTATGTGCTAAGTCGGCTAGACTGAACTACGTCGCGGTGTCGTCCACGCTCACCGCACCATGCGGAGATAACTGCAGCAACGGGAGCTAGGCCGCGGGCTAGGCACGTGTGCTCGTGTGATCTCTGCGTTCGTTAGTCCTTAGTCGTTTTCCTTGTGCACACACTACTTGCTAGTTCACGGGGAAAATTGGCAAGAGTTTCACTAGGAAAAGTTCAGAAGAATTGTACAATGAAGTTGGCATAGCAAGACTACATCAGAGCAAGCATTCAGGTTGGCCAAGTGCCAGCGCAGCTTGGTCGACCGCGTTCCAGCACGACTTGGTCGACCGCGCTCCAGCAAGGCAAGGTCGACGACGTGCCAACGTTGCAGGTTGACGGCGTGACAGCGTTGCTTACGCAGGACAGCAGTGCACCCTGCTTCGCAGTTGTGCGGAGATGATTGGCGTGAAGAGTCTCGTCACCTGCACAGCGCACACACCACGTCAACCTCGAGCTGACGACTGCCTCTGATCCGCCACGACGACCTCGGGATACCACCACCGAGGTCGGGCTCGCCAACTTCACCTGGGCGACCGTCGCATTCCTCCGCAGTTCCCGTACGTGCCCGTCGACCTCCCAGGTCGACGACCACCTCCACGTCGACCTCCTCCAGGTCGACGTCCCCTCTGGTCGACCAGGTCCACGTCGACCAGCACAGTCGTCGGCCGACCACCCACGTCGGCCACCCAAAGCTGGCGTCACGAAGTTGACGCCCCGCTACTCGACGCCCAACTGCTCAGCGTCCTGAGTCGAGGTCGACGTCGGCCCCTCCTTCGTCGACCACCAGGTCCAGTCGACCACTAACAGGTCGACCAGTGGTTCGTTAGCCGACCGCCGAAATCGGCTTCCCCAAGTTGACGTCACCAAGTTGACGTCCTCCGCAGGTCGACTCCCAAGTCAACCTCCCTGAAGTCGGCGCCATCATGAAGTCGGCGCCCGTGCAGTGGTCCCCCGTGCAGGTCGACCTCCTCGTCGACCAGCCCACCCACTGCTGCAGGTCGGCTGCTCCCCTCACACCAGACCATGAAGTCGGCTCCGCCCAAGCGAGGACGGGGCCAATATCCAACTCCCGTTGACAGCCACCCCTGGAGCAGCCGTCACTGCAGCAGCCACCCCTGGAGCCGCCACTGCAGCAGCAGCCTTTGGAGCAGCCGCCCCGGGAGCCGTCACTGCAGCAGCAGCCCCTGGAGGAGCCGCCCCAGCAACAGCAGCCCCTGGAGCCGCCGCCACTGTAGCAGCCGCCCCAGCAGCAGCAGCCCCTGGAGCAGCCGCAGCTGCAGCAGCCGCCCTTGGCCCTTGCAAGAGCAGCCGCTCCTGGACCCGGTTCAGCCGTGGGGGGATGGGTGAGGGGGTGATGGTTGTGGGGGTGTCGGTTGTGCGTGCCGTCCCCTCCTCCTCCTCCTCCTTCGTCTCCCACTACTGCAGCTCTCGCTGAGGGGGGTGGATGTGTGGGAGTCTGGTGTTTAGGGTTTAAGGGGGTGCTGTGGGTGTAGGGTTAGGGTTTGAGCAGGGGGTGTGTGAGAGGGGCGTTAGGCAGCTGGGGGAGGTTGAGTCGAGGCAGCAGTCTTGTCGTCAGCAGCAGCAGCAGTCCGGAGGCTACAATCTCCGGTAGTCGCCAGTCGCGCGTGGGTCCGTTGCTCGTCTGCCACTACTTTTAGCCGCGGGGCCAATTACTCCAGTAGTCCAGAGCGCTGTTCCGGTAGCCACTGAGCCAGCAGCTCGTCTGTGTGTCTGCAGCGTTAGCAGTCACCTCCCATCTTCTCTCCCCTACATTCTCTCCTCCCCCTCACTTGTCCTCTGTGATTAGCTCTAGCCTTACTTACCTATTGTGAACTCTTGCTCTATGCTTGCATGCTGTACTGATTATACCCCACTTTGACTATGGGGGTGTGTCAGAATGTATTTGCTGTCTAGCCTGCAGTGGGGTACTTTGTAATGAGTACAACCCAATTTAGGTTGTTGTACTTGTATCCCAACTCTTGCTAGTGAACACTCCTCTCCTTCCAAAACCTCTCGATACTTTCCTCCTTACCCTCAAACTCGATCACTAAGGCACCTAAACTATGGCTCCTAAGCCTACTTAACTCTAGATTCTTAACACAAAGGCCTACTTATACATGTGTATGATATATTCTCCTTGAAGCCATTTATTGTTGTTCGAACTTACATATATTACAAAGCCTTTATGAAATCCATGTTTTGCCACCCTGCTGCCCTGCCAACCTTAGAAGAAATGAAGCTACGGTAAGCTGGAAAGTAACCACATATGAAACACCCCCCACCCACCGTACAACATGCGAACCAAGTGTTGGAATTAAGGTTAATTCGGGTTGCTCCAATAAACATATGTAGTGATACATCTACACTATAGTAGTGTAGAATACATTGGTTGGGTTGGGAGAACTTGTAGTGTACACTCTATAGAGTGGACCACCTCCCAAACCCTATAGGTTAGGGTTCTCTCTTGTTGAAACTTCACTTCTTGGAAACCACTTTGGTTCTAGCATTATTCATGCCCAAGTGGGCTCCTAAGATTCATAGGCTTTAGGAGGAGGTTCTAAGACTACTAAAGCTTCCGCTAGTAGCTTAGTCCATTCTAACATGGTATCAGAGCTAGGAAGGCCTAGCAATCTGTTGGAGTAGGAGTTACTCAAGACATCGGACCATAATATATTGGTGGAAGCTAGTTAGCTTCCATCCCTCCCGAAGGGCTGCCGAAATTGCACCGTGGCGGACTCTAGACGTGGGAGGGGAGGAGGAGAGAAGAAAACTGCTGGAAATCGTGTGGATCCGTTCGGGAGGACGAGAAGAGCGAAATCCATTCACGGAGGCGCTCAGTCAACTTTGGTCGATCAAGACGTGCATCACACTGTTCGAAAGGTCTCAGCACGATCTACAACATTTGCCTCGGAGTCGTCACTAATCGACGAGCGGATCAGACGCAATCCGCGAAAAAATGCCGGCGGCCGAATTGGAAAATTGCAAATCGGGGACGATTTAAAGCGCGGAAAAGAAATTGGAGGGCGGACGCCAAGAGAGGACACCAGGGCGCATCCAACAAGCCAAAAATCGGGCGAGACGGTTGAGTCTTCATTGACAAAAACTCGGCCAACTTCGACGAGTTTAAGCGGACAGCTCGAACGTGGGATCCCGAAGCGCGATACATCATTGGAACGGGCTCGAGCGAGGATTCATCAGAACTAAACGGCTCATCATTCGGAGGTTCGAGCGCGGAGTTACGCTCCAAAAACCAAGACGGGGTGAATCTGCCCGCATCGTCTTCACCGCCGCCGCCGTTGCCTCCACCACCACCTCAACGTTACTTTTCAGTGCATGCGCCACAAATGGATCACGACTCAGGCAAAGGGAAGCTGGAGAGTGCGCCAAAGTTCGATGGGAGCGACTTTTGGACTTGGAGCTTCCGATTCGAACAATGGGCAGATGCGCACGATCTATGGGGGTACTTTGACGGCTCAGAGGAGCGACCTGCAACGGGTGACGCACGGCTGAAGTGGGAGAGGAAAAATCAGAAGGCATTCACCCAATTTTGCAATGCCTTGGTGCCAGATGAGCTGATTCGCTTGGTACGGGAGTTCGGCGGCAAAACCGAGTTGGGCAGCGCACCTGTTGATGGCGGAGCAAGAGCAGTCACCCGGGTTCCTGCAGGCACAGCAGCGGCATACACACGAGTGAAGGAGTTCTACCTTTAGCGTAGATTGTGTAATCGGATGGCACTCTCTGAGGAGCTCTCCTCATTGAAGATGAAAGAGGGGGAGGGAGTGGTTGCATACTGGGCGCGTGCCGAGGACTTGAGGTCCTAGTACTTGGCTGCAGGAGGGAAGGAGGAGGTTGAGGAGTGGATGATGAGGGTACTCAAAGGACTACCTCCTCACTTTGAGATGCTGAAGGTGGTGCTGAACAACCAGTCATCATCACTCACTAAGGATCAGCGGCTTACCTCCTTGAGGAGCGAGGAGATGCGGATTGGTGTCGCACTAAGATCGGATGGTGTAGCCACCTTTGGAGAGGGTACGAAAGTGGGCAGCAGCGGCAGGGGAAATAGGGACAAGGGAGGAAAGCATGGAGGCAGCGGTAGCAGCAGTGACACCAACTCGGGCAGATGGGGTCAAGGGAAAGGTAAAGCGGGAGTGCTTGACTTCCCCTGGGGGTCCAAGGGCATGGCTCCTCGGGGGTTGTGTCGTGGCTGTTGGGATGAGGGACATGCATGGCAGCGATGTCCTCATCGACCTAAAGGAGGCATTCCGGCATTCTTAAAGCGGGGGGGTCGTGGGTCCAGCGGCAAGGCACAGGTGGCGGATGAGGAGGAGCAGGATGACAAGGCAGAGGCAGTGGTTGGAGAGGCAGTTGCAGCAGTGGGAGAGGAGCAGCCGCGAGAGAGGTGGTGGATTGACAGTGGGGCCAGCCACAACTTTACTCTTTACACGTCAGACTTCAAAAGTAAGCTTCAGCCACCAGAGGTTCAGGGAGTTAGATTGGGAGATGGACGGGTGGTGAAAGCTGTTGGCATGGGTGAGGTGCCAGTGGTTGGTGCTGGAGGTCAGCTGGTGAGGATTCAAAAGGTCCACCTTGTGCCTGAGATGCACATGCGTCTGCTGTCAGTCCCACACCTCACCTCTCGAGATGTTATTGTCACATTCAAAGGCAAGAAATGTGTCCTTAAACGGGGGGAGCGGGTGTTGGCGATTGGAGAAAAGGAGAGGGGAAGGGACCATGGATTGGTGCGGATGTTTCTTCCTCTTGCTCGGGGCACACAAGGCAGTGCTCTTGCAGCTGGGTCTTCCTCCTCATTTTCCCCATTGACCCTTGCCCATCGCCGCCTTGGTCATACCGCCCCCACAACATTGCAACAAATGACTCGGGGGAACAGTGTACTGGGCTTGGAGATTGGGGGGGGGGGGAGCACTGATTGCTCCCCATGTGAGCCTTGCTTACTGGGAAAGTCAGCTCGGAATTCGTTTCCCCATGAGGCGTCTCGGGCACTTGGGCCTTTGGATGAGGTCCACATGGATTTGTGGGGGCCAGTGCGCACACCGTCAGTGGGAGGAGCGGTGTATGTCCTCAGTCTCATTGACGACTTCACCAGACGAGTTTGTTCGTTCCCCCTCCCCAACAAGGAATCGGCCACAGTTGCAAAAGTCCTTCGCCAGTGGCATAAGGACGTGGAGTTGGAGTGTGGGCGGAAGCTGAAGGCTATTCGCTCGGACAGGGGTGGCGAGTTCTTGGGGGAAGCTGTAAAAGCATGGAAGGTGGAGTTTGGCACTAAAACTCAGTTGAGCGTCGCTGATATACCGCAGCAGAATGGGGTCGTGGAGAGGTGGCACAGGACGATGGCAGAGGGGATTCGCACATTGTTGGTCGACAGTGGTCTCCCTGCTCGCTTGTGGGGTGAAGCATTGATGTGGGTTGTGTGGGTTAAGAACAGGGTCACCCACAGTGCTCTCCCTGCCTCCATCACACCAATGGAGGCGTGGTCCGGCCAGAAGCCGCACGTGGGCATGGCTCGGATTTGGGGTTGCATGGGGAGTGTCATGCTGCATGGGCATGAGAAGGGTGGCAAGCTTGATGCACGGGCTGTCATGTGTGTCTGTGTTTGGGTGGACATGGAGAGCAAGGGTTGGCGCATGCTGGACCTTCTCTCATGCGCATTCGCATTGCTCGGGATGTTGATTTTCTTGAGAATGTGATGTGGAAGGATTGGGACAAGGCAAAGGGATATGGGGAGCTTTTGCAGGATGCAGCTAAGATTTCACAACTTCTCCTTCTTCCACTCTCGCCACCCTCAGCAACGGTTGACGACGCCGAGATGCCACCTTCATCACTCCCACCGGCACCGCTGCGTGTGTCGGTGCAGCAGCCCACCCCTCTGCAGCAGCTCAGTGGCACCTCGGTCATTCAGCGGAGATCCGCTACACAGGCTACTTCCTCTTCCTCCTCCTCTGGTCAGCGCTCTGTCCCTCTCTATGGGTGCCCCTACGTCACCAGACCTCCCCACCACCTGTTACGGGTTTGCAGGTGCTTGGTATCCAGTCTGGTACAGGTGGTGAGGAGGTAGGGGGGGATGCTGGTGTGGTTGAGGGCATGCTGTGTTTGGCCAGGGAGGTGGAGGGTGTTGCACTAGCAGGTGTGAGCACCGGTGATGTCCCACGCACACTCGTTGAGGCCCTGCGTGGCCCTGAGGGCCCTGCGTGGAAGGCAGGCGCTGAGAAGGAGGTGAATGCAATGCGCACTATGGGTGTATGGGATCCAGAGCCGGTCAACTTACCTCCAGGTAAGAAGGCCATTGGGGTCAGGTATGTTTTCCGCAGGAAAACTGACAAGGAGGATAAGGTGGTACAGCACAAGGTTCGCATTGTTGCTAAGGGGTACACTCAGGAGCCTGAGAAGGACTATGATAAGGTATTTGCCCCTATGGGCAAGCTCACCTCAGGTCGGGTGCTTCTTGCAAAAGCTGCGGTAAAAGGGTGGCATGTACAACAAGAGGATGTTGATCATGCTTACCTCAATGCAGTCCTTCAAGAGGAGGTGTATGTGAGGCAGCCTGAGGGATTTGATGATGGTACATGTAGGGTGTATCGCTTGCGCAAAGCTCTCTATGGGCTCAAGCAAGCGCCTCGCGCTTGGAATGAGGAGATTGGTACCACCCTGATTGCAGCAGGGTTTGACCGCAGTGCATGCGAGGAGGCTTTGTACATCAGGTTTGTGGATGAAGAGCCAGTGTATGTATTGGTGTATGTGGATGACCTCTTGCTTGTGTCTCCACGCTTGGAGCTGATCGGTCAGGTTAAGGAGGTGCTTGCTCAGAGGTACCAGATGAAGGATCTAGGTGAGGTATCCATGTACCTTGGTGTGGAGGTTTGCAGGTCGGTCAAGGATGGGTGGTTGGAGATTGGTCAGGAGAAGTATGTTCGTGGTCTCCAGGGAAGGTTTGGTGATCTGCTGAAGGAGACCCATAGGGTGCATACTCCAATGTCACCCAATGATCTCTCTAAGATCAGGAATGGTACTTGGTCGACTGAGGAAGGTGCTGCAGCTGATGTCAAGGTGTACTAGAGTCTCATTGGCAGCTTGATGTATGCTGCTGTGACTACCCGTCCTGACATGTCTTTCACTGTCAACACCCTTGCATAGTCCTGCGTGGCACCAAGACGCATTCACAGGCGCGCTGCACTGAGAGCACTCAGGTACTTGGTCAACACAGCTGATCGTGTCATCAGGTATGAGTGCCAAGGTGGTGAGCAGGTTGTTGGGTATACAGACTCGGATTGGGGTGGTGAGACCGATGGCAAGAGTCGCTCTGCCTACATCTTTAAGCTGGGAGGAGGAGCAATCAGCTGGTATAGCAAAAAGCAAGACAGTGTTGCAACAAGCGTTTCTGAAGCTGAGTACAAAGCTCTATCGGAAGGGGCCAAGGAGGCCATTTGGTTGAGAAGTTTATTGGCAGAGATGCAAGTGGGGGATGGGGGGGCTATTCCATTGCTCTGTGATAATGAGGCTGCTGTCTCCCTTGCCCACAATCCTGTTCTCCATCAGCGCACCAAGCACATTAAGGTGGCATGGCACTTTGTACGGGATGCGGTGCGCCAGGAGGAGGTTGAGGCGCACTCAGTACGCTCCCACCTCCAGGATGCCGACATGCTCACCAAAGCTCTTCCAAGCTTGCAGCTGCATGAGAACTTGGAGCGCATCGGCATGCGAGTGATGGCTGCGAAGGCCAAGGCTTCATTCGCTGGAGGGGTTGTGTTTTGATTTATGGGTGAACTTTAATGCTTATTGGAGCAAGGGGGGGTGATGGATTTAAGGTTAATTCGGGTTGTTACAATAAACATATGTAGTGATAGATCTACACTATAGTAGTGTAGAATACATTGGTTGGGTTGGGAAATCTTGTGGTGTACACTCTATAGAGTGGACCACCTCCCAAACCCTATAGGTTAGGGTTCTCTCTTGTTGGAACTTCACTTCTTGGAAACCACTTTGGTTCTAGCATGGTTCATGCCCAAGTGGGCTCCTAAGATTCATAGGCTTTAGGAGGAGGTTCTAAGACTACTAAAGCTTCCACTAGTAGCTTAGTCCATTCTAACACCAAGCACTAAATAACTTAGCCGCCGTCAGCCAAATTGGATCCTGGCCTTTGAATAACATGTCCATTTGCTCTGACCTATGCAACATCAGCCCCAGCCAATCCTACGTCCCTCTAAACCTGCCAACTTGCACCTCCTTCCCTTGTCCTCCAACTTCTTTGTGCTGAGGATGATTGGCTCTCTGAGGTGCAACGAGAGGGCAAAAGGGGGGGCAGGCCACAGCGTAAACATGATCCAATGGGAGGGATGTGACATGAGCTTGAAGAGGAATCGGGATGATCAGCTAGGGGAGAAAGAAAAAGGATTTGGGATGGAAATGCGGTGATAGTGGTGAGAAGCAAATGGTAGAAGCATTCAGAAAAGAAACATGGTACGGAAGATATCCTCTACCATCTCCCCCTTTTCCTCTCCCTCTGCCTCTCCCTCTCCCTTTCCACCTTCTGTCTCTTACAAGTGCGTTGGTTGTTATAATCCTTCTGAAACCCCGCCTTGCACTAGCATGCCGCCTTTCCTCCCACCACCTTGCACTGAGCATCCTTGCATGTGGCTGCCACATGTGATGGGGAAAGCACAATAGGGGGAAGGTTGTAAATCAGTGAGCAAGGAAGAGATGTGGGCGTTACCAGCAATTCAAGATGACATAGATGAGGCAGCCAGGTTGTTGATGGGTAATCTAGCTTGAAAGCAGAGGTGCATGCGCCTTGAAACTTACGTGTGCACTTGTTATTCGTTATTCGAAACCCTGCCTTTCACTGACATGCTGGATTCCCTTTCACCACCTTGCACTCCGCATTAGCAGGGCAGGCAGTAGTGCATACGGCTGCCATATGTGGCGGGTTAAGGGGTGGAAGCGAAGGAAGAGTTTGGAGAATGAGTGAGAAACGGTTGGAGGGCAAACAGTGAGTGAGATAGATGGCATGCATGTGTCATGTGGGTAGACGACATGGATGGGTGCATGGGCAAAGCCAAACTGATGTGCACGGAAAGAAACCCCTCCCTCTCACTTACGTGTGCACTTGTTGCTCTCCATCTTGAAACGTGCCTTGCACCGACACACCGGCTTTCCTCCCACCACCGTGCACTGCGCATTCACAGGGCAGGCCCGCTTGCACACCGCTGACATAGGTGGGAGGTTGGTGGGGGATGGGGGGGAAGGAGGGAAGGAAAGAGTATGTGCTGAGTGGGGTTAGCGGAGGGGGCAATGAGGAGTGGCATGGAAGGATGAGGGAGAAGTAAATGCCACACAACCCCCACAAGCACAGTGATACCATGAACTGTCTCCAAAGACTGAACTGTCTCTTGATCACGAGACTGCTTGACCTCTAGACCTCTTGACCACTAGACTGCTTGACCTCTAGACTTCTTGACCACTAGACTGCTTGACCTCTGGACCTCTTGACCACGAGACTGCTTGACCTCTGGACCCCTTGACCACGAGACTGCTTGACCTCTTGACCTCTTGACCACTAGACTACTTGACCACTAGACCTCTTGACCACTAGACCTCTTGACCTCTTGACCACTAGACCTCTTGGCCACTAGACCTCTTGACCTCTTGACCACTAGACCTCCTGACCACTAGACCTCTTGACCACTAGACCTCTTGACCTCTTGGATCACCAGACGCTGAATCAGAGCCCTTGGTGATACCATGAACTGTCTCCAAAGACTGAACTGTCTCTTGATCACTAGACTGCTTGACCTCTAGACCTCTTGACCACTAGACTGCTTGACCTCTAGACCTCTTGACCACGAGACTGCTTGACCTCTAGACCTCTTGACCACGAGACTGCTTGACCTCTAGACCTAGACCACTAGACTGCTTGACCACTATATCTCTTGACCACTAGACCTCTTGACCTCTTGACCACTAGACCTCTTGACCACTAGACCTCTTGACCTCTTGACCACTAGACATTTTGACCACTAGACCTCTTGACCTCTTGACCACTAGACCTCTTGACCTCTTGACCTCTTGACCACTAGACGTCTTGATCTCTTGACCACTAGAGCTCTTGACCACTAGACCTCTTGACCTCTTGACCACTAGACCTCTTGACCACTAGACCTCTTGACCACTAGACCTCTTGGATCACCAGACGCTGAATCAGAGCCCTTGGTGAGCTCACCAGACCAGTGCAGAGGCCGCTCCTCTTGGTGTAGCCTTGACCTCTTGACCTTAACCTCTTGACCTCTTGGGTCACCAGTCGTTGAATCTGAGCCCTTAGTGAGCTCACCAGTGCAGAGGCCACTCCTCTTGGTGTAGCCAGCGTCACACTTGCAACTCCCCTGCCCGTTCTTCACAACGCACTTTGAGTTCCTGGCGCACTTGAGTGTGCCCGTCTTACACGGGTCTGCCGCTGCCATGGGTGGAGGAGGGAGGGAGGGAGGGAGGGAGGGAGGGAGGGAGGGAGGGAGGGAGGGAGGGAGGGAGGGAGTGAGTGTGTCAGTCAGTCAGCCAGTCAGTTTGTCAATCAGTCAGTCCGTACTTGATACCGTCAGGGTAGTATCAGCCTGACTACGGTTACGACCGTCTTTGGTAGCATATACTTGCTCTTTGGTGTATACCAATTAAATAATCTAAAAAAAAAAAGTATCAGCCTGACTGAATCGACTGAGGGCATTCTCCTTTCAGATTGCATTTTCAGAATAGGCATTAGCCTAACTATTTGTTGGTTGCAAAACAAGCAACGAGAGACAAAGGCGCTTACCAACAGTATAAGACACATCGCTGTAGGTCTTCTCAGCCTCGTTGAACACGAGGCCCAAGGGGCACTTGCACTGGGCCTTGCCCTCCTCCACAACGCACTTGGCAGTTCCACAATCCCTGGCACACGGGGATGTTCTGGGCTCCACGAACGGGGCTGCTGTGGGGACCACAGACGGGGCTGGTGTGGGAACCACAGATGGGGCAGTTGTGGGGACCACAGAGGAACAAAAACCACTAGCAAAAAAAAGGGAAGGGGTAAGGGAACCATAGGGAGGCATAGGAAAGGCTCTTCTTGGATCGACTCAGAAACACTCATCACATCCCAGGCAAAAGAAGGAAAGGGGTGAGGGAACCATTAGGGAGCAATAGGGAGGCAGAGAAGAGGCAGAGAAGAGGCAGAGAAGAGGCAGAGAAGAGGCGGAGAAGAGGCTTGTTTCTCTCCCATTCTCTCCCATACCTTCTTTTACCCAATCTCTCCCATACGACTTTGACAAACAAGTTCCGAAGGTATAATGACAAAGTACAACACTCCCTCGACAAGGGCGCAGTAGGATTCTTCTCAGCACCCACCCGTGCTCCACCACTCACCATTGCATGACTTGTCTGTTGCATTGTAGATATAACCCTCAATGTTGCACGAGCACGTGGCAATGCCATTGCCATTGCCTCCCAGAGAGCAGGAAGCACTTGCCCCATAATCCACTTGATAGCATGCATCTGCAGGAGAATTAGTGGTGATTCAAGAACAAGAAAGGCATTCAGGGTTTAGGGTTTGGGGTCCATGGAAGTATTGGTTAACCCACACTCCAGCACCCACCCATATTTCCACTCACCATTGCAAGTCTTGTCTGCTTCGTTGTAGGTGTAACCAATAGCATTGCACGAGCACTCGGGAGTGCCAGTGGCTGTCACAGAGCAGGAAGCACTTTTCCCGCAATCCACTTGATAACACGCGTCTGCAGGGGAATTCACTATGGTTTCAAGGTGAGATAGGAGAACGGAGATGCAAAATGGACGATTTAAACTTTTTGTGAGAACAAAGTCACACTTCAGCACACACACATATCTAGCACCCACCCACATTCCTTCACCCACCCACCTTCCACTCACCATTGCAAGTCTTGTCTTCTTCATTGTAAGCGTAACCAATAGCATTGCACGAGCACTTGGGAGTGCGGCTGTCACAGAGCAGGAAGCACTTTTCCCACAATCCACTTGATAACACGCGTCTGCATGGGAGTTCAAGATGATTTCAAGGT